GTTTTTATTAAGCTAAAATAAAATATTTTCGTGATTTTATAGCTAAAAACTTTTTATATATATTTATATATCTTATAAAACAATTCTCTTAAGGTCCAAATTGAATATTTTCTAAAAATCCAGAATTTACAACACTTTTGACATTATTTCTCTCGCGGTCGACCGTCACGGTCGACCGTAAATGTTTCTGAAAATTGTTACAGTCGACCGCCATGGTCGATCACAAGAATTTTTTTTTTTGGTTTTATTTTCTTATCGGGCTTTGGTTTATAGTTGCTAACTGTTTTTAAACCTGATCTCTTATCACCGTTGATCTTCATTTGTGAGTTGATCCAGATCATTCATTCCTTCTCTTTTGACCCGACCCTCTCTATTTCCCTCATTTCGAATATTCTTCCCCAATATCGATTTCTGCTCAGTTTCTCCTCACGGTCGCCCGCCGTTCGCCTTCGATCGACCGCGGTCTCCCTTGAGGATCTCTCTTCATCGATTCCTGTTAGGAATTAGTTAGGTAATCTCTACTCTCTCAATCTTGTGTTCTTTCTCTATTCTAGGATTTCATTGTCAATTCTAGGGTTTCTGTTTAGATCTGATCTTTCAAGCCCTATCTTTTATCTTAATTCTGATATTATGCCTCCTAGAAAGAGATCGAAACAAGATGTTGGATCCTCATCTTCCATTGCCTCTAATTATGAGGATTTTCTACTGTTCAAACCCCTATTTAAAAAGTATAGGGAGCTTTGTAAGTTGAAAATTCTATCTGGCAGATATATCAAGTATGAGGAATTAGCTATCTACAATATTCATGAAATTTTAGCTGCTGTTGGTTTGGATAAACTGTTAGATGTGGAACGTAAAGTTCCTTATTACCCATTTCTCGTCTATTTGTTTTATGCAATTAGATGTGGAACGTAAAGTTCCTTATTACCCATTTCTCGTCTATTTGTTTTATGCAAATCTGTCTGTCACCACTTCTGCTGATGGTCTTCATTTCTCGTCTATTTGTTTTATGCAAATCTGTCTGTCACCACTTCTGCTGATGGTCTTCAAACCATCAGTTCATCTGTTAAGAATGTTCCTATTTCATTTTTTTCCGACGAACTTGCGGGAATCCTTAAGATCCCGTCAAGTGACGTTGAGCTCATGTCTATTGAACACACCGATCAGGATGTGAACGATTCTATGTTTAAGCCCAGTTGCACCTACCCTATGAACAACAAATCACTTAATCCCACTGCAAAAATCATTGCTCGTATTATTGCTCAAAATCTCATTCCCAAAACCGGTAGCTTTGACCACTTTGCTCCTGATAAAGTCAATGCTGTATATGCCATTTTTGCCAAGATAAAAGTGAATTGGGCAAATATTTTCCTCAAAAACATGACATGTAAGCATTATAAGTTTCTACCCTTTGGTTGCTTCATCACTCTTATTCTACAACACTTCGGTGTTGCTCTATCTGGTGAACCCAAAGTGGATCCTAGTAAGGAATACTTTGATAGGGTTTCTCTCTCCCGAATGTAAATTTCAGACTCCTTATCTGATCCTACCAAACCATCATCTTCCCGTTCTCGGTCTAGAGCTTCCACCATCTCTACTTCTGATGTTTGTGCTCGACTGGATCGTCTTGAGACTCAGGTCTTAAGTATTCAGAAGGACGTTAGGACTATTCTCAGCTATCAGCGTCAGTCTCTTGGGATTCCGGATCCCTCCTCCAGCTCTGACTCTGGTTCAGGAGAGGGCTCTGATGAAGGAGCTGCTTCTGGTTCGGGATCTGACTCCGGATCTACTTCTGACGATGGTGGTGATTGACTCTTGATGTTATTGAGTTTATGTTTTGTTGAACTAAAACTGGATACTTTGACTCTTGATGTTATTGAGTTTATGTTTTGTTGAACTAAAACTGGATACTTATGTTTTATTTTGAGTTGTAATAACTCTTATTGAGTTTATGTTTTGTTGAACTAAAACTGGATACTTATGTTTTATTTTGAGTTGTAATAACTCTATGTCTTGTGTTTGAAAACTATGTGGAACTATTTCTGTTTGTTGTGATTGTGATAGCTTATGGCAATCTCATTATGGTTTTTAGATCCGATGAACTATGTATTGTGGTAACATGCTATTAAGGATGCTTTGTGTTAAAAGTTTGGTTTGGCATTTGATTCCTGTGTTTATGATCTTAATAGCTTGTTAAATTGGTTATGGATGTTTATGAATGTATAGCTCCCATATATGTTCTCTTTAATGTTATATCATTTATGCAAATTGACAGGGGGAGCTTTGGCTATATATTTGTTTATTATCTGTGCTTGAATGCAAGGGGAGCGTTGCTCCTATATATATTTTTTCTTCCCTTTTTGATGTTGTCAAATGGGGAGAAAAATTACATATTGATGTTTAGTTCAGTGGTTTATTCATATTGATGAAATATAATGTTATCACTACATGATTCATATGTTTGGTTTATTTAGTTTATCAATATGTATTTCATATTATTAAATAAATTGTTTGCCAACATCAAAAAGGGGGAGATTGTTGGCCCTATAGTTTTGATGATGATTTGTTAAACAATTTATAGCTAATATGTTTTCTAGTTTTCGTTGTTTGGTTTTTCTCTTAACAGGTAATTCAACACACAGCAATCAAGAGTTAAAGATTCAAGTTCATGTGTGTACATTCATCTAGGTATAAGTTTAGTTTTCTTACATATATCACATGTTTATATGTAAGCTCAATATGCAAACACAACACAGATTTGACGTTTTCTATCATATAAACGATTTTTTATCAAACTTTGTTATAAAAGTTTTTATTTCATGTTTACAGCTCGTTCATACTTCATTATACATATATAATGTATGCATGATATATATACACGAGTTTACAAGTCATATCTCAATTTTCATGTTCACGAAAAACAGGTTTTATGAACGCTTTTCAAAAATAGTGGGTTTTCACAAACGAAAATTGCTTTTCCAAAATTTCCTTCTCAAACATGTTTATTTTATCAATTAGAAACTTTTCCCAAAATTTTACTATTTTTGGAATTGATTTGATATTTTTAACGCATTTTTAAAATTAGCCCAAAAACCTGTATATTGCCATGTATCAGTTTGTGGTCGACCGCCAGCAGTTAAGTTTTTAAGTATAGCTTTTATTTGTTCGCGGTCGACCATGATGGTTGACCGTGGCTCCATCCAGAGCCTTTCGCGGTCGACTGCCAGCTTTTAAAACTCTTTTTTAGTATTTTTGTGCATCGCGGTCGATCGCGAGATTTGTACGGTCAACCGCCGAACTCATCATTACTTTCTCAATGGCTATATTACGATTTGATTCTTTGGGGCTATTTTGGTCTTTTCAAGTTGGTTTTGGCTGATATTTTGAGTGGGTATAAATACCCCATTGCTCTTCTCTTTCAATATACCAAGTTTTGTTTTTACAGTGAAGTTTTAACAAAAGTTTAAGAGTGTTTAAAAGAGATGTTTAAGCTGATTCTGATTATCTGTTTCAAAAGAAGTTTTCTACAACAAGAAGAGGCCTTCAATTCAACTGAAGATCCTATCCTCTTCATCCTCTACTGTTCTTCTTGTTATTGAGAAGTTTTCCTAACTCATCTTTTCTATATAGCTTATAATTTCATTTTCATATCTTAAGCTATATTTATTGAGTTACATATTTTCATTCACTGTTATCACACACACTATATTGAGCTTATAATATTCCATACTATATATTGTGGTAGTGGTGTGTGATTTAGTGAGTGTGAGCTTCATTGTGTTCTCATTTGTTATCGAGAACAAATCATTGTATTTAATCATTGTTGTGAGTATCACTTGTAATACACTTGTACACCGAGAGAAGTGTGAGGTGTGAGACGGGGTCGAATCCAATAGGAGTGGCGTCGGTTGACGAACCTAGGGAGAGGTTGCATCCGAGCACTTGAGGAGGAGGACACGGGCTAGGTTCTTACACTTAGTGTGTAAAGTGTGATTGCATAGTGTTTGTTGTGTGAAAGTTTTCGGTAAACTTGTAAACCAAGTGTGTAGAAGTTCCGGCTTCCAAACCGGATTGTGATAGTGGAGATCTCCTCGAGGTGAGGAGCGGGGACGTAGGTCGTGGTGACCGAACCTCGTAAACATCTCGTGTGTTTGTGTTTTGCTTAGCGTATATTTTATTTGTGCCTATTTATATCATTCTTGTTCATATCTATCTCATATTATTATTGCAAGAACAAATTAATCAATATAATTTTAATTGGCATTTAATCAAGGTTAGATTAGCATAAGACCCTAATTAACCCCCCCTCTAGGGTCTAACAACTTAGACATCAACGTGAGAGAATTGTTCGGATGAAAGGATAATGGAGGAGCCAACAGCCGTTGTTGGAGATAGGAAGCAATGGCAAAAATTGATGATTTATCCAACGGATCTGTTCATTTAAGTCTAGCTTTATTTGGGAAATGCCAATTCTTCTTAGAACTACTGAAGTTTTCTCAGTTTGCTATCTCAATAATCTTTGTCCAATTTCCTTGGCAAGACAAAAGTTGTCAATCTTACGATCACATTTGTTGCAGACGATGATACGAGTGGCGCTTCGCAACCATGATAATAGCGGTTGTAACATATGACACCCGAGAGAGAATTGTACGCCGCGTCGGTAAATTGACGAAGAAGGCAAGGGTGACCGGTATGATATTCTAGGGAAAATGATGAGAGATCATATGTGCTTCAGATCAGAAGAAATAGAAGTGAATACTAATGAAGGATTCTCTACAATGTTGACGATAGGGAATGCCTACAATTAGTTAAGTGAGCTAAACTGTTGGCTTATTATATTAGTGGGTTTTAATATCATTTTGACGAATTCACTGATGAGTGAGAAAATTTGATTGGTGAATTGTAATTTCTAAAGTCAAGTATGCAGAGGATCTCAACCCGTCAGTTTTGCTAGTGCCACTCATTTATTTAGAAGGGTCTTTCTTACTAAAATCCTTCTCTTTATTCACCATCACAAACAGAACCACTGGAAACATAAGAAAAAACCAAACATGCAAATTTTATTGACTGACATATGACTATTCTTCTGCTGCGGATCCACTTCGTTCAGTTCGACAGCACGGCCATTGGTGGAAGTGGACGAATCAAAACATCCCTGATGATAAGTCCCCTTTTAACGACATCCGATGTCTCAATCAATGAGAAAGTGATCTCTCCATCATCAACAACGCCATCGAAGTAACTAGCGACGACCAGCATTACTTGGTCCTCGGGCAGCTTGCTGAGGTTCAGTTTCTCAATCTGTGTTGTTCCGTCTGGCAGCGTGAGCTTCATGCTCAACGGGCAGTTTTCCCAACCCTCAACAGGATCCTTCAGGAAAAGTAGGTAAGCAATTTGATATTTGGCGCCAGGGGTGAGTTTTGACATTTTCCATTTTCCGTGGACTTCGACGTGCTTTGTTCCCATAAGTTTTGGTACTTCAATCCCCAGTTCCCCTTTGCTGCATGATTGCACACACGAGATAATGAGATGTAGGCAATCGAAAATGCTAGAGATCTAAAATACATGAGATTTAACCATGGGATAGCCCATATGTCTCTTTATTATTATTTTTAGTCCGAACAGTTCGTACTTGGTGGATGGTTGTGTTTTTAGTCCAAGATTTGATCAGACCTATCTGCATGCGAGCAGGCTGTGAGTGGTGAGGGTCAACTTACGGATTTTACTACCCATCTTTGGAAAAGACTATGACAAGTTATGATGTGATCTGTATTCTATGATTTGTCTTCAGTGAAAAGTGGAAACTAATACAACCCAAAGGTAATATGATAAATATTAACCTCCGTCTAGATACTAATAGAAAGCTTTTGATAGAAATAACAACTTTTCGATAGCAGAGAAGTCCAAATTCAAAAGGAAAATATATATTTAAATTGTTACCTTTCTGTTACAAGAGAGTGCCATTGCCAACATGTTTCATCGTCACCCCCAACAACATTTAATTCTCTTGGGTGTAAGATAATGCCTTTTTCGCCTGACATCTCCTCAATCCAAGAGTTCTGTACAATGAACAAACAGTGGGAACATTAAATAATAAGCCCTTATAGTACATGTTTTTTTCAAAAAAATCATCTTTAAAATAGGATATTTCTATAGAAACTACATTTGATTTTTAATTCATACTTAAACCACCTTTAAAGGGGTTTTTTTGTTACAATCAACAATGTGTGTCCACTTTTCAGTTAATTTTTTAATAATTAATCTCACCTAACCTCCATTGAGGATCATCCCTCTAATATATATATTTGGTATTTGACAACTAATTATTATAGTGAAACCAATCGACTTAAAAATAAGTCTAGGCTTTTGATTGCAACAAAAAGCTATTTAAAGGTGGTCTATATATGTATATATAAAGTGATAACTAAAGGTGGTTGCTATAGAATAGCCCTATTTTAAAGGTGATTTATATGGAGAGAAAAAACCCCCTATAGTATAACAATGAAACCTTAGTACTTTCTAAAATATTAATATATAGAAAAATAAAAAGAAAAAGTAATTTAAAAAAAAACCTGCCTTTACATGCAAGTCTGGTTTCTCATTAGTTGCCATTGTCTCTCTTCTTAATCTTCAAGGATGAGGATGAAACACTTCAAGTCTGGTTTCTCATTAGTTACCCCGGCCTTCTCCATCTCAGTCTACGGTGTTATTTATAGTTCCAATTCGTGCAACAAGATCACTAAATTAAAGAGTGTATAGAGTAACGATAATGTTTTTTTTTTTCAAACTTTGAATTCGACTCTTCACGTTGAAAATTGAGAGCAGGTACGTACGTCTAATTAAATAGAGACAAAGATTGTGATCACATAGTGACGTGCGGTGCTTGGCTGATTAAGAAACTCAAGTCATGTAAGGGGTGCACAGTATTTGAAAACTCAATTGTCTTGACTTTATAAGTAACTGCATCCCAAAATTCATGTGAGATAAACATATATAGGTTTTAATACAAATAACTCAGTAAGTATAAAATGTTGTTCAAAAGGTGCTTGCGGTGAATAAGAAAAGGCCAATATATAATTAGTTAGACACAGTTATGTAGTAGATATATACATACATTAATCTTATGCCACAAGAATATCACGAAATTATGATTTAAAAATTGGACAAATTAAACATGGGCATCTTTCTTTCGACCTTTTTAGTTGACACAAACTTATCATTATTTGTGCCATTTGTTTTATAACCGTGGAGGCAAGGTTTCATCCACTCCTCGATTTTTCTGCCATCCTGGGTACAAATCAAGCCAGAGAGGATGAAAGCACAAGAGAAACTCAAATCAAACTCGAAAATTGTTATTGAAGCAACAACAAAGAAAATGCCCATCCAGTTTTCATTAAGAGAGAAAAAGAATGCTTAGCACAATATAACAAATTGCTGGATTGTGAATTATCTTTTTATCATCAAAAATCCAGAATTGCCTGGAGCTTCAAAGGAGATATATGTACAGATTTCTTCCATAAAGTCTTGAAGAGCAACAGGCATCAAAACAAAGTTTTAGCCCTTTATAGGGACACTGGAGAAAGAATAACTGATGGTGATAAAATAGCAAAGGAATTTGTATCATACTACAAGAATCTAATGGGAAATGCTACTGATACTAAAAATCCTGATATATGAATGTGCTTAACTCAGGGCCCTGCCTAAGTGGTATTCAAGCAAATTTCTTGCAGAGACCTGTTTCCAAAGAAGAGATTAAAGAAGTTATTTTTCAATGTCAGATAATAAGGCACCTGGTCCTGATGGGTATGGTGCGTTTTTCTTCAAATCAACTTGGTCGATTGTGGGAGATGAAGTCACACAAGCCTTGGAGGAATTTTTCACATCACGAAAACTTTTGGGCACGATAAACTCATCCTCTATTACACTTATACCAAAGATACATTGCCCTAAAACACCTTCAGATTTTAGACCTATATCATGCTGTAACAGTCTATACAAGTTCATTTCAAAAATCTTAGCATATAAAGTTAAATCAGTTCTGGGTTACTTAGTGAATGATGCTCAAAGCGCTTTCATTAAGGGTAGGCAAATAACAAGTAATACTTTGTTAGCCCATGAGCTTGTTAAAAGCTACAGCAGGTGGAACATTTCTCCTAGAATCATGTTGAACTTTGATATTAAGAAGGCTTTTGATACCAAATGTTGGAAATTTTTGCATGAAATGCTCAAGGGGCTTGGCTTTCCAAAAAAGATAATTGACTGGATCATGGTGTGTATATCAACTCCGAAATATTTCATCTCCCTAAATGGTTCACTACATGGTTATTTTAAGGGGGAAAGGGTTTTGAGACAAGGTGATCCTCTCTCCCCATATCTCTTCATTTTGGGTATGGAATATTTGTCAAGAAGCTTAGACCTTTTGAAGCATGATAAGCAATTTAAATATCATTCCAAATGTGGCAAAATGAAGATCACACATTTAATCTTTGCTGATGATTTATTGCTCTTTGTTAAAGGAGACTTATATTCAGTGAAGAAGCTATATCAGTGTGTCACAGATTTTGGAGATATAATTGGGCTTGAAGCAAATAAAGATAAATCTACAATTTTCTTTGGAGGGGTTGATGAATCTGTAAAAGAAACTATCAAAACTCAACTATGTCTTCCTGAAGGTTGTTTCCCTATCAGATACTGGTGGGTTCCTCTTATATGCAAAAGGTTATCTTATGAAGATTGTAATTCACTCATCAGCAAGATATCAAATCAAATACAGACATGGCAAAAACACAGAAACTCACATATGCTGGAAGATTATAGGTTATCAAGAGTGTCATTTTGGGAGTTTAGGTTTATTGGACTTTAAATTATATAATACCAGTCAGGGTTACACAGAAAATGGATGAAATTTGCAGGAATTTTTTGTGGGGAAGAACAGATCAAACACCCAAAATTCCCTTAGTCTCTTGGGATAAAGTTTGTCTGGGTAAAAAACAGGGTGGACTTGGAGTCTTCTATGCTTTAGTCTGGAATCTGGCAGCTGCTTTAAAAAACTTATGGCATATTCATGTAAACAGGGAATTAATGTGGATTAAATGGATTCATGGTACCTATTTGAAGCAAAGGGATGTTTGGCATGTTAAAGCAAGATCAAGGGACTCTTGGATGTGAAAACAATTATTAAAAGCAAGAGACAAAGCTTTGCATTCCTGTGGTGGAGTTGAAAACCTGATTCAGTTGATTGGCTCTGTTGTAGGGGAGCAAAATTTAAGATATCTACCTTGTACCATGCCCTAAATCTAGTTGTCAGTAATGTTCAATGGCACAATACAATATGGGATGAATTGTGCTATCCAAAACACTCTTTAGTCAGTTTGTTGATTGTTAATAACAGACTGAATACTCAAGTAAAACCCCATAATAATTTTGAATATTATGTGATAAATGATAATAAGTATGTTATATGGTGATAAATAACATATTCTAATGTTTATATTATGTGATAAATGATAATAAGTATGTTATATGGTGATAAATAACATATTCTAATGTTTGAACATGCTAGGGATTGATGTGAGATCAATCAGTATGTTATATGGTGATAAATAACATATTCTAATGTTTGAACATGCTAGGGATTGATGTGAGATCAATCAAATGTATATACGTGAGTATAAATGACGAACATGTACAAAAACATGCACAAATCATGTTTCTGGGCTGTTAGTAGTTGACTACAACTCAAAATAGTCGACTAATCAGTTTAGTAGTCGACTACTCTGGCAAGTAGTCAACTATCGTGGCTGATTCCAGTTTTTCTTTTCAGGTTTCGGGTTGGATTTGATTTATATCCGAACCTAGCTTGATATACATATATAAACACACATTTAAACCCTAATTTCTGATAGAATAACCGTGAGTTTAGCAGCCAACTCCCTCCTCAAACCCTAAATCTTTCTTTGTGAGTTCTTGAGAGATTTTCGAGGTGTTTGCATGAGGAAGGCAAAGTTTTGGCTTCAGGGATTGAAGGGAGATCTTGCACACACGTGATAGAGGGCTCCAGCAGCATCTAAGGCACGATCATCTTCACCCGTTCCTGCACCCATAGTAATTACAAGATTTAAAGTGATAAAATCGATATTTTTATGCCCTTTTATGGTTTACATGTGATTAAAAGTAGACTTCTGATATTTGATCTGTGATCCATGTTAGATCCAATGTTTTTTACCGTTTATGATTAAAAATATGTTTATGACAGTTAGGGTAACTATTAATTTCATTTTAATCTATTAATTAAGTTTAACTTATGTGAAAAACCCTAATTTGATAACAAATTAAGTTTTTCTTTTATATTAGCATGCTAAAACCTAGGATTGTAAAATCTAGGCATTTTTAATCAGAGTTGATATGAAATATATTGCTATCATGTGAAATTTCTATCATGTTTTCCATAACCATGTTGATCATATATGAGTAATTGAAGAGATTGATTAACAAGGATGATAACCCTAATTAGATTTAATTAATTCTATATTTCATTTTTAGGATAGACTTTGTTAAAGGGATACAAATTGTTTAAATCTTGCTTAATATTGCATATGTGTACGTTCCTTGGTTAATTTCCTGTTTCTGCATGTTAGTTTTTAGATTCATGTAGAGTAGTCGACTACTAAGGTTAGTAGTCGACTACTCTATCTCAGATCCAGTTCACAAAATTATTATCGTAGCAGTGTAATCGGCTAATGATTATTATAGTCGACTACTAACACTGAGTTTGGTTTCACAGAGTCTGGATGGACTCAGAGTAGTCAACTACTCAACATTGTAGTCGACTACTAAGGTTGATTTCCTGAGTTTTGTTTTGGAATTGTTTGAGATGTGTTTGCGGGGTTCGAGCCGTACTTCCTCACATGTAATTACACGAATTTACGAATACACAAGTACAATATCAATACACATACACATATATCCCGAAAGGGGGTTTTGACAAGAGTTGGGTGTTTTATGTCGGGATTAGACATTGTTACATATGAGTTGGATATCGTTAATGAGCACAGCTCAGTACTATACAGGATAGTATGTCGATATACTATTACACACAGATTATTCATGAAATGGATATAGTTGATGAGCTCAGTTCAGTACTACATGAGGTAGTGTGTCGATATTCTATTTGTACAGGCCATTGAGTCGGGTTTGGATGCTTAGTATAGCTGTCCGTCCGCACGAGGGTGCGATGAGGCTTGCGAGCCATTTATTTATGAGGCTTATTGTAGGCATATAAAATTGCTTATAGGTCCCTTAGCTCAGCTCGGCACAGACCGACGAACCAACGAGGCGATGAGATCGACCAATCGCACGCGAACAACGGAATGAATCCACCCGCGTGCAGAATCAAGCTAACGAGTTAAGGAATCAACGAGTCATCCAACCGAGAATAGACTCGGACGAATCACGATCGAATCAAGATCAGTTTCGGACTCGAACTCAGAAACGGATTTACTGCCAAATCAGGAGTCCGACTTACTGCCAAATCAGGAATCCGACTTACTGCCAAATCAGATCAACAAATCAGAGTCTCAACCAACCGAATCACAGAAAGAACCGGAAACAACGGAAAACCAAACACCCAGAGAGGCTCGGAAACCAAGTCACCGAGGCGGCTC